TAATTGTTTTTCACAAATATACTGAATGTGTTATCGGCAAAAATCGTCTAATATAAATATTACAAATTAAATGAATGTTCGCTACAGAGCTGGAAGAAATAATGCTTAAATGCTGTAGGTCGTTTTTTTTCACATCTTATCGCCATAGTCGCGTTAATTTTTAGATACATTTAAAAATATGGCTGATTTGTTTCCGTCTATATTTATACATTTTTATACATCCCGATCGTTTTATTGTATTAAAAAAAACACTTCTCTGTTTTTTTGATCTCAAAATCTCCTATTGCATGTTTAAGCCCCATTTTAATCTTATGGACGATAAGCCAAAAGGGTTCGCAACTGTATCCCTTCACGCGCAACTGTACCCCCGCGCATTTTACCTGCCCTACGCGATATTTGCGTTCGCAAAAATTTGCATCCGCGTATTCTAAAAATTTGCATAAGTATATGTAAAGCGAAACTACCGGTAGGTTCGATATTGTCGTGCTTTTCTCCAAACAGACATCCGAGTTTACGTAAAATCTATAAAAAGCCAAATGTTACCGGCGCATTTTTTTCATTTTTGTATTCCTATGCATAAGCACTTTGCGTCGGGAGAATTTACCGCGAGTCTGCCGAAAGTTTAATATTCGCTGTAACTTTGGCATTCGTTGCAGAATCCACAACAGCACAGTCGCTTTTCGATTCCCCTATAAAATCGTTTAGCAACACATCGTCGTACATTCTCGCAAGAATTACGCTACATCTGTTAAATTGCGTTTGTGTATGCGCGAGTATCCGATATTATCTCCGCAGTCGCTCCCCCCCTCCGCCCGCCCCCTTCGGGATTGATTGGCTTTGGAACAGTTAATTTCGCAGCTTTGGTTTTTGCGGTTTAATGCCTCCGGGCTCGTTCGATTGAATTCCGGAAATAAACACGCAAAATAGAGCGGTAACTTACGAAGCGCATTGATGTTTATTTGTTCGGCTTTCCACAAATATCCTTCGTAATATCGGTAAGAAGAAAACATGATCTTACAATAGCTGAAATACGATAGAGTGTCTTTTCCATTGCTCCCTCCACGATCTGAAAATCCGACAAAACTCCCGAATGGAACGAATGGCAGGGAAGGTCTAGCCGCGCTTTTCGCTTCCACCGTAAATACTTATTTTCGGTAACATTGCTCGTGCGAACGAAGACGGAGTTTTCTGGCGGCTTAAAGCTGAGAAAAACGGGCCGAGTGCAATCGCGCTGCAATTAAGAAAAGTGGCGTTGCGCGCTATGACGAACATGTCAAAGAGAAAAATAATGGTGAAAAAAAGGGAAGACACGGAGCGGAAATCGCGGCGCACGCCGGCATTGTCTCAATTAATGAACCGTGCTCGAAAGCACGAGAAAAAGAGAAGGAGAGAGAGAGAGAGAGAGAGAGAGAGAGAGAGAGAGAAGCGAGAGAGGCGAATGCTGTAAGAGTAGCGTCGGTGTAACTATCATGACGTATACGACTCCATTAAATAATCAGACTACACAAGTAGTAATAAAAAAAAACAATTCTTGTTCTTACTTATTTAATATAGGCTCTTTTCATTTTTAATGAGTTTTGCAGCGTAACGAATGTACTTGTATATATAATAAGTGGATACTCATTAAATGATACTTTACACAAGCAATTTATGCATGCTTGTGCTCACGATGCAGCACGTAATTATATTAGAATATGCAAACATAATTATGTAACACTTGTAAATAGTACAAAAGTATCGCGAGATTTCTAATTACGGTGTACATCATCGTACAAAAGTTTGGAGCATTTTATAACTTTTATGCAAAACCAAATGCAGCTATTTCTCTCTCTTTCTCTATCTGTCTTAATGTTTATGCAAAACGTACTCTACACGAGTAGAATTTAAAATTGAAACAGCAGCAAAATTGTAACATGTTAATTACTTACATGACATATCATTTATTAATACAAACGTATCTTAAAAATTTCACACGATGTTTGTTCAAAAGTATAGAGATTACGTCAGTGCGTGTATAAATCGACGAGGATAAAATTTCTTTTCGTTCGCACAATATTCTGCGCGTATTCGCATTTTCAAGTAGAAAGTACGAAAACGCGAGAGATCTAGATGGCAAACAGTGCATTTTATATTGCGTACCACAAAACGGCCTACCTGCTTTTTTCCGCTGAGAAATCCTCGGCAGGGAGGAAAACGTGTCGGCATAAAAGAACGTACGAATATCGAACGTGACGGAGACGCGCACAAAGCTCTTTTGAGACACTCGTTTTCATTTCGTACGAGAAAAGAGACTGTGTAGCGAAAGAGACCGCACGAAAGTATATTCCATTACACGGGAGTATAAAAAATCATCGTTTGCGCTTCTCGCAGTCGACGGGATAATCGCGGACGCGAAATATTTTACACGCCGGGATGCGCGTGAAGGACTTCCGATGCGATTTTCACAAGAGAATCGATTAGAAATCCGTGACTAACGTCAATCGCCATCTGAATGATGCGAGGGATGCGCGGACCAATCATTTTCCAATCAGCGTAAATCACGCGCCGTGACTCGCATTCGTAAAAGGGGATTAAAGATCGCATTAAGACAATCTAAAGATCTTCGGGCGCGCGAAGCGACGGGAGGAGAAACAGGATGTGTATCTCGAACGTTGACGAGATTTTATTAGAATTTAAGGTTAGTCGGAAATACAGTCATGTCATGATCTTTTCGACTTATATTGCCTGTAGTTATGAACATTGCTTTTCACTTTTCGAACAACAAATTAGAAAATTATTAAAAGCTTCCTCTCAGTCCGCCACCGTATAGCTCGTCTGAGAGCTCCACGCCCTCGAGCATCGACACGGACCGTTGTTTGTCTACTGTCATAGGCGCCGCGATATACATCCCGCGCTTATAAAAAATATTGCAAATTTATGGCAATTTTTTGTCAAACACCGATCAGAACCTTGCAGTCTCGCGAAAGTGGGAATTAAAAAATCGGTTGTTGCTTAATCGCGGCGAGAATTTTCGCGACGCCGTTGAAGCACGAGGGAACGAAAGAGAGGCGTTTTACATGACATGTAGATTTTGAAAGAAAATTCGACGCCTATGGGGTGAAATGGTCGCGTAAAGAGACGAACGTCCGTTCGCCGTCTTCTCGACGAGCAAAACCCATACTCGCTCTTGCAAGCGGAAGCCATGAATCTTTATTAAATCCACAAAATTTATGTTCAAGCGGTCGCGTGGCTCGTGAAACGTGTCCCGCGATAGTCTCCGAAAGAGTATTTATTTCCTCCCACGCTTTCCCGTACAATGTATGCGATCCCGGTTTGCTACGGTCATTTACATTGTGTAATGCGCCACTCCGCGCGTACACATGTGTATATATTACGCACAATGTAAGCCCCCTTTTTTTTATTTTATTTTCGCCCTCACCGAGCGAATTATTATCCGCGGAGCAAATGGACGCGATATTTAATTTGACGCGGTAAATAGCCGCCTCTGCAGACGGACACTTTCCATTCGCATAACTTCTCATTTAAATATGCCTGTAACAAAATTAATCCGTATAATTCCGTTAGTATTTTTCTTCCGCGTGATTTATCTGTTAAAAAATAACGGAAATCATGAAACCCGACAGTTTTACACGAATACGGGAAATTCCGGCACAATAATGTGTTTCGTGCTAGTCTCTTTAAAAGATGATATTATCACAGTGATTTATTTCGATCTTTTCGGCTCTACATGCTGATGTTATTGCCACAATAAATCTAGCAACGTCCGCAATGTTTGATATATCCGACCTGACTTATGTGTCTCTTCCAATTTTCCATCTTTCGCGCACTCCGAAATTCGAACAGAATAATGAAATTTTTCTAATCAATGTCGCATCCGTTTTATATTAATTCACAGCTAATGTATACCTCTTTATCTTTCTTTCAACTCGTATGACATTGATGATAACATACAATTATCTTGCTGTCAGTGTTTAATTTACAATTAGACTTATCTAACGCTGTATACATTTACAATTTATCTTACTTCCGTCTTGCTTTACTTTGAATGCTGTCGCATGCCATCAATCGTAAAACGTATACGACAGACATTGCTTAACGGAAAAAATAATATTTGAACAATACTTGATTAGTCAGCATTGTTGAAGTTTATATTGACATAATACTGACATAATCGAGATACCGTTAATATTTCGTAACGATGCTTTAAAATATTCAACCAAATCAAAAATTTTGCAAAATCAATTTTGTAAAAATTAGCATTTCCGCTCGACAAAACTATGAGATTCTGATAAACAGTTTTGGCTATTTATCGCGAAGTTATAATACTGTTAAGTATAGTGCTTTAAGCCGAGCAACGGCGAATGTAAACGGCTGTGTTTCGCGTCTTATCTATTCCTCTTCCGACGATGATAATATCAATAACAATGATGCCGAGAAGAAGAAAACTTTACAAAATAGTCGGCAAAGCTAATAACGAATGTTCGCTAATTAGCGGATTGAAACAACGCGAAAGCGAGCATATGCGTCAATGACGAATACGCACGTCAAGCGCTTATTAGTCGGTTCAGCGGTTTCACTCGCTCAACAAACTTCACGTTATTACGCAAAGTGCATAAATTTTTGCGAAAGCCAATAAACCCTGATCACATTTAAATGACGGGCGGAATCGGGTAACTCGCTCGTCTTGACAGCGAAGCAACAGCTAGTAGGGATGGTTTATAGCGGATCGGAGTAGAGAGAGTAGGAAGAGAGCTAGGGTGGGAGGGGCAGCGCGATGTGAAAGAGAAAGAGACAGAGAGAAAGAGTGAGAAAGAGTGGAAAGGGGTAGTAAAGAGGGAGAGACAGAGAGAAGGAGAAAGAGGGAGAGAGGGAGGGGAGGAGGCAGAATGGGGAGCAGAAGAGGAAAGAGCATGTCTGTAGCGATAAAAGCTCGGGTGGGTGGTGTTGGTGGTGGTGTATACCGGTGTTTTAACTCACGGGGAAAACTGTAAGAGGCAGGAGCGCGAGCGCGCGAGCTTGGAGCCGCGCGCGGGTGCGGGATTTCAGTCGCGTGCAACGCGCGCTCCCGGTCGCCACGGTTCATAGGTGTTCATCGATAGGTGTTTCCCGATTCCAAAACGATCTCCCGACGGAGAATCGAATAACCGCGCGAGCGTGAAGACGTGTGCGCGTGCAACCGAGAGTCGACTTTCCGTGTAATTTAGAAAAGGTCCTTTTCCGCATCGAACGTGCGGAATGTTTTTTCCCAACAAGTTCGCGCCGCGCGGAGGAATACTCGAGTTTCTCGGCTCGGTGTGATCAGCGAAGAAAGAAAGAAAGAAGAAAGAAAAAAAAAGAGAAGAAAAATTACTCGTTTGATAAAGCGAGCTGTGTAATTTCTGTCACGCGGTATGATAAATTCGTGATAACGCTATGAGACCGTTACGTTATTCGCGATACATTTGCATATACGGAGTCTGACGGAGTCGATGAGATAGAGCACGACCTTCGCGATGCAATTTCACGGAATGATTTATATCCCGTCGATGCGTCTCCGCCGGGGAAAATCGTAATTAAAGCTTCGCGAAGGCAAAAAGTATTGCTAAACGGAGGGGGGAAGAAAAGAGGAGGGAAGAAAAAAAGAAGAAGTGCGAAACGGAGAGTGGAAATTAAGGACAATAATATTTGATATCGAACGGCAGAAATACAAACGGGTCTTCTCAGCTTTGAAAAATTCAAGACTGCGCGATAAGAATAACGCGATGAAGTACACTTTTAGAGTCTCTAACGATTAATAGAGTGAAAACTTACATGGAAGGTGCCGTCGACTTTTCTTCCAAAAGAAAATAAATTATGAGAATCGCGATTTTTGAACGACCAAGTGAAAGCGATCTATCTCTGTCGAGTGAATTTTAGATATTAGTGAAATATTTTAGTATTAAATATTTATTCTCGCTATTGCGTCGCTAAAAATTCAGAGCTTTAAAGCTACGTTAAGTGGAAACGCTAAGTGGAATACATAGATTATTATCGCGCTCCTTGAAATTTATCGATAACTATGAGGGACAAATTTACATTTAGTGTGAGTATTATTTATATACTATATGTATGTTATCATTTTTATTTTCTCTCTCTCTCTCTCTTTCTCTCTCGTATATTTTTAATAAATTATCATAATTTGTTGAAAGAATTAAAAAAAAAGAGCAAATAACACAAATTTCTAACTAATATTTGAGTCGCTCAAAAGTCAAACTGACTAATTGCATCAAATAAAACTCTATCAACTTATTTTATTTGCGAAAAATTAAACACCAATCATGTGCTTTGGTACTAAAATTGCAAAAAGTAGAGTTAATCGATTTGGCTTCTCAGCGACTCGTTTGTGACCAACATTACGTGGAATAAAATGCGCATAAACTATCGTTCTAAACCATTAATCATAGAAACTGTAGCGTATTTCTTTTCGTCATAATATTTAGAATCTCTTATGCTGTTTCGCGTACATTGCGCGTTCACTGAATTCATTGTTATCGCTTTATCGCTTGATGCCGTGAACATTTCGTAAAACCGTCAATAGCTGATCTTGATGCATAAATAAAGGCACGCTGTGCGAGATGACTTACGCATATCTCGAATGATAACAATAAATTCTCGTTGATGTAATTTACAGTCGGGAGTGTCGGACATGCACGAGACCCTGTCTAGCTTTCCGGAACAGTTTGGAGATGGCCCGAGGAAACCGGAAATAAAGCCGGAAATTCTGAAGGAGACGGATAGGACTGCGAACAATCTGAAGTGCGGTTGGTTCTGGTTCAGGCCAATTTACTTGCAGAGATTTCGCACCGCAAAATGGGCGCTTTTCTGGCTGTGCTGGGCCGGGGCTATGCAAGGTACGCAGCTTAGATGACAAATATGCGCCTCGTGCGCGAGTCTCGCTAGAAAATATTTCCCAATAAATCGCGACTCGCGCTGTTTCGTCGCAAAGTCCTTCATAATAAGTGGCGTAACGGCGTTAGTTGGGGCTAGCGCGCCTTAGTTCGTCCCCTGCTCTTATCAGCATTGGTGCGTAAAGCGTTCCTTCAATCATCCGAGATTAGGCGCGACTGTCAGAGACGCGAATGTTTTTATCTCGACTTTCTCACGATTTCACATATATCTCGCATCAAACGCATGTTTCTAATAATCTCTCGAGAGCGTTCGACGCGGTACAACGTGACGCGTTATGTAACGACCGATATGTTCGAACGCGATTTCGGATCGCGCTGTCGGTTCCGCGAAGACGCGAAAGGACGACAACGGAAAATCGAGTTTGCTCGATCGATATCAGCAATTATAATTTTTAATCGAACTGCACACCGCTCGATTTCACAAGCAGGGAATATCGCGAAATTAATATCTGATATAAGATTGTTGCAAGCCTGGCGGAAAGACTTGTCACTTTGTTTCGTCGTGTTTTGACTCGCGACTGCTGATCGTTTCAATGGCCGAACATTCATTGTTGCAGGAATGGTCGTGAATGGTTTTGTAAACGTCGTCATAACAACGATAGAGAGGAGATTCGGACTGAAATCATCGGAGACGGGATTGATAGCGGGTGGATACGATATCGCCAGCTTTCTCCTCCTCGTACCAGTAAGCTATCTCGGCGGCCGGGCTAAAGCGTCGAAACCAAGGTATAACGCTCGCGTGTGTGTCGCCACGGACTCCATTGTCTTGTGCATTAATATTAATACAGACATCTCCTCCACGCGACGATTCTCATAAATATTAATCTTAACGCCAGTCCGTTCAACACTGCCGGCGTTAATTTCCATCCCGTTTCTTTGCAATGAACACTTCCTAGCCCGTAATTGGCAATTGATAGTCTTAAAAACATCTCAAACTTCGAGCCGAGAATCCGAGGACACTTTTCAGCCGCGATCATCTTTTCCAAATTATTCTGTTTAGATTTACAAAATGAACGTAATACGTTCTGTAAAATATAGTATTTGCGATGGTAGTTTTTTTTGTTGCATTTTTATTCGATTCGGCTTAAGATCTTTTAAGATAAGTAATGTAAATCTACTTGGTTTCAATTATGAATGTTTGGAATGTCTTAGGTATATCGGTGTAGGAGTTTTAGTCTTAGGTATAGGAAGTCTGCTATTTGCATCTCCGCATTATCTCGCTGGGCCATACAGAGGGGATCAGCAGAAAGAAAATATATGCCAAGGTGTAGCTAATGTGACGAGCCACTCGGTAAGCGACCATATCATCATATCAATATAGATTTTTTGTAACCAAATTTTTCCTTTGCATATCAGTATAAACTTGTTGAAATTCTCTCTTTCTGCGTATTAATACAGATTTTGCGTGTCGAAATTCTTCCTTTCGCGCGTCCAAATTTATTATCACGCTACGTGGCAATTGCGAAGATATTGACTTGCCGATAATATCTTCTAATAAATGAACGCGTCTGTGTTTATATCGAATACGCGTATGAAACTCTCGTTAAACTTCAAACAAAATTTTCACCACGATCACGCGATGATAAGTATAATGCGTATAATTCAAACGTGTGTCACTGGTCGAAACTCGTTTATAATTCCGCACTTTTCTCGATTTTCGCTTCTATTTATGTAGTTCTCCTAATGAACCGGCGACGCCAGATTTATCATTATTTCGGCCACTCAGATATCCTGCACGGATCAATCTGCCGTTCAAGCGGAGCCAGAGCCTTACAGTGGCGTGTACTTAACCATATTTCTGGTAGCTCAGCTGTTACATGGCGCCGGTGCGGCACCTTTTTATACGCTTGGGGTTACGTATTTAGACGAAAATGTCTCGAAAAAGATGTCCTCCGTGTATCTAGGTAAGACGCGATTATACGCGCGATGACGACCCTCCCCGAAGAAATCCGGCGTGCAAAAATTCAATTTTCGAGAAAAAGACACATTCAAAATTTGCAATAAAAGCTTGTACCGCGTTAATGCAGTAATTCATGTTGTTGGTTCAATTTAGTTTTGCGTTTGCTTTATAATAAATTTCGAACGAGCTTTTAATTTTCTTTGTTCATTATCTCTCCAAAAATAACGTAAAGTTCTTTTCTTGAAAACTCGATTTCTTCACAATTTCAAAAATAACGATCTCGGACGGGTTTTAATGAAAAAACAGATGGCTCATAAATATTGAATCTATCTAAGATCTAAACGTCTGAAAGTTTCATCATAAGCCGGATTTTGTCGGAGAGGTCAGAGCATATAAATATTTGATCAATTTTAACACGCAAAATGTATTGTCAGGTATTTACTACACTATGGCCATAATAGGACCTGCATTAGGCTACGTCGTCGGCGGAGAATTATTAAAGATTTACACAGATTTTCTTACGGTGGACTCTTCGGCGTAAGTAGTTATTTCGATAAATGCATAAAAATTCACTATATATTGTTAACTCTCGTAGAATATAAGATATCTTTATCGTCGCGGAAAGATGAGATAGACGCGGATATTCTATTCACGAAAGTACGTGTCGCAAAAAATATATCGTAGTCGTCGAATGAAAACGGGGAAAAACGATCGTGCCATCGGAATTCGTCTCTTCCTGTTGTCACGCTAAACGCATTTTCTATTTTTTTTTTCCCCCTGATAACATGCAGGAATGTTTAGTTGCGCGTCAGCGGCAACTTTATTAAATTCTCGCGAGGATTTATCGGCCGTTTGCTCCGATCTGTCTGACGGTGTGTACCCACACACGTGACCGGATGCATACGGACATGATAACACATGCGCGTCGACGTTGCGGTTTTCGAACGGAATAACTCACCGATCTGATGATATACAAATGCGCGCATTCGTCATTTCGCCGCTAATATTTGAGTGACGTGCGTATATTGGCAGTTTGCAGGAAATTCAATATCGACAGTGAAATTTTCCCCGGTAACAAAGTGCCAATTAAATGGCGCGTAATCGAGCGAACGTGTGTAATCGGAACTTGATTCGATTAACTGCTTTCCAAAAGTAATTGTAGTACAGTGTAATGATTTGACTTCAAACGCATTGTTGTGTATTCGATACTCGAACGGGGGGGAAAAAAAAAAATGAGAGAGAGAGAAAAAATTCTACCCCGACGAGTATGAAAAATGGAGAGACACGTGCTTCTTACTATAATACGTCGACGGCCGGTAAAAATATTCCGCAGGATCATTAGAGCGTATAATGGGCCGAGATTAATAGTGCGTGTAACTCCATCGATATATAATATATCCCGCGGGGAAAATGTCAAGCGGTGAACCAATGTTTGACGATGACGCCGACGCTACCCTTCAAAATTGTCGGCTCATCCCCCGGCACTTAGGACACAATCAAGTTCCATTTGTCTACGCGTCTCTCCGCGGAGTTATCCCCCCCCTTTCCTCCCCCCCCCCCTAGCGCACCCCCACGTCCCTCCGTCGACCGTTGAGTCACTGTGTCGCGCGAGAATCTAATTAATCTTTTAGTCAAAGCAACAATTTTTTTCCCCCCCGCAGTCAATATATTTGCGAGTCCGCAAATCGAATTATGCCGATTTCCCAGGGAGCTCGTTGCTCTTTCGAATTCGGACGACCGAGGGCTATCGGTCGGTTTGCTTTCGAGGGTGAATCGCGTAATTTTGTAACCCAACAATTTCACGTCACTTAAATATGAGAGAAAAAAAGAGAATAGAGTAAAGCAGTCGCGATGCGGTTTAAAACGAGCATTTTTGTGGTTGCAATTACATCCTTTCTCTTTCGCGGAGAACGCGACGCACGAGGTAAAAGAACGCAAAAGTAAGGCAGAATGATTCGTATAACAGGCGTTGCTCTTCTATCGCTACAAGTGAGAGTTGTTCGTATATGCGCCGCGCGTTTAATTTCGCAGTTAAATGAAAAGTTTTGCCGAAGAAACAGCAGCAGATGCGGCCGGCGGCTCCAAGCTAGCCCGAAGTCAACGACCGCTCTACGTGCACTTTTCTCAGTTTTCCGCTTCTCACTTTCAAGTTTCTTCCTTCCGCGATAAGTTACATAGATGTAGTTGTATTGCCGTGCCGTGTTCTATAGCAATGGGATCGAGCGTTATTCAAATTACTTTGGTCTTTTTTTTCAAAGCGGATATCGGGTTGTCTCCAGATGTATGATAGCATACATACGTAAATTCTTCTTTCACGTGCTTTTTTCTTTCTAACCGTGCGCTCTTTAGGAAAACAGCATATCCCATCAATACATTTTCATAAATTTCTGACGATTGAGAAGAACGCCGCACGCGGGAAGAATTTATTAACACTCTTTTTTTCAAATATTGAACAATTCTTTGTTAGCAATATTAATATTTATGTGGGCGGTATAATTTGCAAGTTTTTATCGCGCGAAATTTCTTATTGCACAAACGTTTAGAGGAAACAAAGAGACTGTTTTTTTTTTTTGCAGGGATAATACTTCTCTTTCAATATTTCCATTTTGATTGATCGATAATTACGTGTTGCAAATTCGTTCGAGCCCGTCGCTACGCGTCGAGCTTCGACGAAATTGCCAGAGAGTTTTGTACAGTTAAATGATTATGCCATCAACATGGAAACTACGGATACTTTTAGTGTATCTCTCGCCACTGACAACTTGTCGAAAAAGTTACATAAGCTTCGGAAGTCAAAAGTTCCCAGCTGCGCGAAATTAAAATTGTCAAATCGCCATTAGACGAGAATACGTAGATCGTAAAGTCCCAATATTTATTTTTAGATGCGCGCTTCTCTTACACATTTTTTTCTTTTTCGTATAGAAAAATCGGTTAGATATTTTCGTTCGCGTCAATTCGTTCATTTGATGTAAAAATCGAAAGCCTTAGTCGGCGCACTAGTTTTACTCGTGTCCATTATCGTTATAAGACTTAAAATAGAGAATCGAAGTCTCTCTCTCTCTCTCTCTCTCTCTCTCTCTCTCTCTCTCTTTCTCTCTATTTCTCTCAGTACTCATGTAGAACAGAAATTCTAAATTTAATGTTAGAAAGAATTTAATGTTAGAAAGAAGATTTGTCAATATTTCACTGAATTTATTGCACTTTGAAATCATTGAACTTTAGGATTGGGCTAACTCCAGACAGTAACGTCTGGATTGGTGCATGGTGGATCGGGTTTTTGGCAGCGGCTGTCATCTGCTTCGTTATCGCGATACCTGTTTTGGCATTCCCAGCAATTTTACCTGGTACGATTTTACACTTCTACTTGCTTTAATGATCCATTAATGAGATAAATTTGGAAGTGTGTCGGAAATGAAAAATATAGTATTAAGTGTAAGTGTGCCCTATTAAATGATAAACGGTATAAATAGGATCGGAGGAATTAGCCAAGGATAGAGTGTCGGAGGCGCATGAGAAATCTACTCGATCCTCCACCGCGGGAACGGGAGAAGCGTTTTCCAAAATACGTGAGCTGCCACGTGCTTTAACCGAGTTGCTCGGAAACCCAGCATTTTTTATGCTAAACTTGGCCGGTGCCAGTGAAGGATTACTGATCGCCGGATTTGCCGCTTTCCTGCCGAAACTGATTGAAAATCAATTCAGCGTCAGTGCCAGCTCGGCCGCGTTACTGATGGGTGAATAATGTCGCAACTCAATTAATAATCTATCAGGCTAGGGCCAGCATGTAAGGTAATTTAACATTTGCGCGATCCGTCATTTTTTACGAAGCTTCAAAGCTTGACGCGACGTGAGAAAGAAAGTGACAAGCAAACAACAGCGAATAAATTTGGTATTAATAAATGAAATATCGATCGCCGCTTTGATTCGTGTTATAACAGCAGAGTGCTCTGATTTTTAGGACTGGTAACCGTGCCAGCGGGAGGCGGCGGTACTTTTCTCGGCGGCTATCTTATAAAACGTTTCAACCTACCCTGCTCTGGCATCTTGAAATTTTGTCTATTAGCCACGGCTGCCTGCATTGCCTTCACGCTATGTTTCTCGCTCAACTGTCCAAACTTAGATTTCGCCGGGTTGACTGTGCCCTATCAAAATATTACGAGGTTTGTTGTCAAAATCGATGAATTTATAATTTGGTGAATTGCATAACTTGTCTTGTATATCGAATTGCGCTTATTATTCGAAATGATATTTAATTACAGAAAAGTTGCATTATCTTTGGAAAATACCTGCAACAGCGGCTGCGGGTGCTCCAAATCGCAATTCGACCCCATATGCGGCGTTGACGGAGTCACGTATTATTCACCCTGCCACGCTGGATGTAACCGGGAAACTCCGATAAATAACGTCAAAGTTAGTTATAACTTTATTCTCTAGTATAAATTATACGTCCCAGATTCACCGCATCAACCGTCAATGGCAGATTCCTGAAATCATTGGAGACAAAAATACCAAAATATTAAAACTGCAATTGTTTTTTAATGGAAAGGGTTTAAAGTTGACCAATCAGTTTGTCAAAGCTTTGGCCGCTCACATGTTGAAAGTGAGATATCGCTTTAAATTATCGATATATTATTAAAATGATTTTATAAGCTTATCTTTTTCATAACGCGGTTAACAATTTCGACAAATATTGTTATAACAATAGCTTAAAAATGATTTAGAATGCGATGCGCATCGAACTGTCAAAACTCTCGTGCGAAGCGTGTCATAGATGAATGATATTTCTCATATAATAAGAATACAAAAATCAATATGTGCGACGTGGCTGAGCACGCGAAGTTTTGACAAGTTAATTGGTCAGCTTGAAACCTTTCCCATTTATTTCGCGAATGACATATCATAATTCATCTTTCTGTAGAAAGTAAGTTTGACGGCATTTCTTCTTCTAGATATACACCGGTTGCAGCTGTATACACACACCGGCAATGAATCTAACAACCGATAATACCGGCGACGTTGTTCAGTACGAAGCTATCAATACTACATGCAGCAGCAAATGCTCGTACTTGTGGCTGTTTATCGTTCTGGCGTTTTGCAATATGTTCATGACCTTTCTCTGCACAATGCCGGCACTCTCTTCCACATTACGAGTCGTGCGCGACGATCAGCGATCGTTCGCGCTGGGCATTCAGTGGATCAAAGTGCGGATTTTAGGAACAATTCCGGCGCCCATGGTATTCGGCGCTCTCATAGACGACACCTGCATTTTGTGGAACCAAACGTGCGAGGGCAGAGGAGCGTGTCTCGTATACGATAATTATTACATGAGCAGGTAAAAGATATATTAAACGATGCAGCCTTTACGTAAGATGCGCGCTAATTCCAAGCGTCAAATACATTTTTCAGATACATGCTCGCTCTGGCATTTATCGGGAAAGCGGCTTCGCTCCTATTCTTTTTTCTCGCATGGTGGACGTACGTTCCGCCTGGAAGCAGAGGAAGCATCGACCAAAATTCTCGGCAACAAAACACGGCCACTTTAATGCTGAACAACACATCCCAAGAAATTCAAATAGTACCATCCACAATAACGTAAACTCGGCTTTACCTCGCACCTTAGAAAGTTACTCTTTGAGAGCCACTGCTTTATAGGAATACGGTAGAAGTAATCACAGTTTGCTACACGGATAAACGTTCCGACAAATAAGTGTTCCAACATTCTCTTTTATGGGACAAATCTTAAAAACACAAAGTGATCAAGTGTATGAGCGTTAATATATATCGTGCAGCCGCAAGAGAAGTGACGCAAGTCACAAATAATTCAACTCTTCCTGATTGAAGGTCGATGTATTCAGAACACAATTCGCACACAAAACGAAATTCGAAAAATTTCGACTTCTGTCATCTTTCTTGCGGGTGTGCGACGTGCACGTAAGTAAATATCAAGATAGTATAAATGCATAAATGTTAATACAGTGCGAAAAGTGTTGCGAAAAACTCTTCCTCACATGCTGAAAAAGATGACGAATTTTTGATAGACCTATAACTAAGGTTCGAGAGTCGATCGAAAGGAAAATGAACTCTGACGAACGTACCAAAGAGCCTATGTAAAATTTTTATATCCTCTTCTCCGATAATAAGTGAAACTGCCGTAATATCATAAGTACGAAGCAAGTATCCGGTTTGTGCAGCTCAAATTTTGGAATTCTATTTATAACAACTTTTGTTACCCTAAACGTAACGTCTACCGATATTGTCAATTAAGGATTAGTCACATTTTCTAACGATGAAAAAAAATATTAGTAGTAATTTATATCCTAAAAAAACGCAACATGCATGAATTTTTCGAAGATAAATTTCGAAAATCTTCGAAATTTTTATCGATATATCAACGCCTTGATAATTGTCGTATATTGTATCGTCGATTTGATATCAAACTTTTTGCGTCGTTTTTCACTATAATTATTTTTGTTAAATAGAAAATGCCAATATGTCTAGAGCACATATTATACATGTCACCAATAAAAAAATTAGTGAAATATGTTACACAAGCTAAATTTGCTTTCCTTCTATGTAATATTTTTACTGTTTATCTGTGGCCGAAATTCGATTATTTTGAATCTAAAATTTCTAATTTTTTTACTATATCGTAAAAAATCGCACCGTCTTTAAATTGTAACGTCTATCGCTGTTTACGCGTGTAAAGTAAACTTGAAGAAACAAGAAAATAATATAATACCTATAATTGTGTTGTCAAGCCGATAAAAAGGCCTATTTTTAATATTAAAAATATTGTAATATATAAAATATCATATAATACAATTGACAGTACAAGTTATAGGTTATATACATGCAACTAAGAAATTGTTATAACGATTATAAGTTGACATAAAAGATGATTTTTATTCCTACCTTTCTCAGTTACGGTTCTAAAAATAGATTGCGTCGCACTTACAAGAAATTTATATAATGGTTAAAAATATAATACAAAATCCGTTGCATACGGATTATTCATAGTGTAACGTCCCCGTATTTTCGCGAATAAATTTTTACTTTATCATCTGATATTTTAGTGGTAAGAGTCGATACATTGATTATGTCGATAATGTGGTTTTTTTTAATTATAGTTCCATTTAAATGGTGGCGCTTTTATGTTGGAGTTATCGCATTATACTGGAATCTTCTATATTGACTGATGTTAACTTATTATTTATATTTTTCGAGAGCTGTTTCAAATATCCTTATATAGGTGACGTTATTTACTCGATTGGTAATATTCACCACAACGATGACTGAATTGTAGTCATTTGGGCTTAGAAAATTTACGGATCTGATATACTTAAATTGACATTTGCACATACACACAGTGATTAAGAAAATTGTGAATGACATTCAGATAAGTGTCGGCCAAAATAGGTAGAGCTTTTAATATTTATATTTTATATAAGGAAAAAAAATGATACATGATTCTCAACGTTACTCAATTATTACAATGCTTACGAAAGCAAAAGCTAACTCGATACTGATTTTTCAGGCGTTCTAGTATACATAAAACTCAACACACTATATATTTCTTCAATAATCATTGAAGTTTAAAGCTTTCAATGCACTTAAGAAGAAAAAAGAGAGAGCTAACCTCTTGTCATCTTTGTTGGTCTACAGGCTTGTGTTAGGCTTATCTGATTGTGAGAAGACACAATCTAGTATATATTTGTTCTTTTTTTTATGTATATAAAAGAATGTTGTACAGACGCACTAGAGGGTCGATTATATTTAATTATTTGTTCAAGTTGATTTAAGAATTATGTTATTTACAATAATATGGGACGGATTTACCGTTTATAAGAACATCTCTTAAACGTCAGGCCTCTTGGTCTAGGGGTATGATTCCTGCTTTGGGTGCAGGAGGTCCCGGGTTCAAATCCCGGAGGGGCCCGTTTATTTTTGTAGTTGCAAATTCTTTTTTTTTTTATTTAACTTTGCAAAATCATCACGTAATGAATAATCCGTAAAACAAGACAAAACACTGTAAATAAATGCAAAGTTAATTCGCGTAAGTCATTTAAATTTGCAAAATCCGAACATCATAGTTGTGCATTATAAATTAATCTCAATTCGTGTAACTCGAAAAACTATTGAAAATCTTAATCCATTCCTTGTTATTCCGAATATTAGGGCACTGTTGAACCGAATTGTTAAAAAGGCGTTGAACTCCTTCGGCGTTCATCTTGTTTCCTTTTCCTTCTGTTTGAATGCGGCGCGTCACGATAGCGGCGCTTCGAGGCGTCTCCCTTTCGTACAAGATAGCACCGCGGCAGTAGTGAGCGCATGCTCGAGTTCTTCCATGGTCGAGCAAAAACACAGCTGGTCTACGATCCTCGAAGTGAGTTGACGGTCAAACAGCTATCAATGTGACTTCCGCGAATTTTTATGCGATCTGTCGGAGCTGAGCGCCGAGGCTCGCGCGAGCGTGTGTGAGGCAACGTAGGAAAATCCGTCGATCACGGCTATTGCCATAGTGAGCAGTGCTAGTGCGTTTGTCTGATGTAGCCTGGAGAACAGCGCAGTGTCACCAGGAAGATTTTTCACTTGGCTTGATCCTGGATACAAAAGAACATCTTGCTACTGTTCCGCGGCGTTCTCTCCGTGAGTCTCGCATCTCCCACGTACATGTACTCTTCGGTATTTCTCGAGCAGATTTTTTCTAACCTTTTATTCGATAAGATCCAACACGATTCAGGTCGTGTGACACAAGATCCCGTTTTTTTTTTACTTTTTTTTTTTAGTTCGCTTCGAGACCTAGTGCGCGACTTGTCGCGATTGTGGCGCGTTTCATGAAACATCGAAAGATTACAGCAGCATACAGTTTACAGGAAGCACTTGGATTTTTTTATGCTGCATAGATCGTAGGCGAGGTGACGTGAGAGCTTCAGTTCTCGCGCTATCCTTTAACCCCATGTTTTTTGAGCCACGCTCCACGGAACACCGTTGTTCCGCGAGGTTATTTCGAGTGTTACGCGAGATAGACCTGCCTGATTCTTCGCTTTTGGAGTGTATAATTTATTTCTATATTTTATTTCGATTGTCCTTTGTTCTAGATGATCGTTGATTCTTTTCTTTATAATTGATTCAATAAAACAGATGAAAGCAATTTGTCGTATTATGTTAAAGCAATTCATTTATTTTGTATATAAATAAAAAAAATGTAGATAAACAAAATAATTAACAATAACAAAAGTTATTATTAATGCAGGAAAAATATAACGGAGAGTTTTGAGCTGCTAACTTCCGTGGAGTACAGTTATCGCTACAATAAACAAAAGAATTTAGATACTGTACGCTCATTTGAAAGATTGTTTTTTTTAACAAGAGTGAAAAATATGTACGGAGAATATTTAGTGTACGTGTGTGTTTTCCTTTATTTATTTGATTTCTTTTTTGGACACAACTGTGAAATGAATGGCGTCATCGTTTAGCGATTAGATTAAATGGAATTTTTCCATAAAGAAATAATATATTACACACATACATACGCACACATACACACATTTGCATATCTCTCAATGAATTGCACCGTCCTTGTCATATGCAAAATCGTTATAACGGTTTTCAGGTTATTTAATAATTACACTAATTAGCATATATATGATTCACTTGTCATTCATTAGGCTGATGCGTAGGAATGAAATAACCTTCTGTACATTCACTTCTCGTTTTTACATTTGCACGGAAAGAAATTTTGTTTAAAACATTCCACTAAGTAAACATGTAATTTTTTCCGAAACTATCGCGTTTGACAAATAGCGCTCACTGACAAAGTACGCGTTATAGTTATTATCGCGCAAGCGTTATTCGCCGCAAAAGGAGAGATTTATTGTATGCTGGTCTTCGATTTTGAAACGCGTCTTTGAAAGTCTCAACCGCTGACGTATCCATTAAAATTGAAAGTCACGTATATCGCTGTGCGTTTCTTGATTTCCAGCGGTCGTTTCGTTATCGCGAGTAGTGATAGTTATGTAATGCATTTCTCGCAGACGAACGTGAACTGTATTACATTTCTCAATGCGACCATTGAAAAATTTGGCATGTCCGTTACACACATCACACTCGCGCCGTTATGTAAAGACTAGCGCTATTTTCTAAACAATATCAGGACGATACGCGTGACAGAAGTCATTCTGTTCAAATACACATCGAGCGGGGAGAAATTTCGCGGTATTTGAGGATAAAATTTGAAGCAGAAAAAAGAAACGGCTACGCTCAAGTTAAAACAAATGATATACAACACCACACATTTTTTAGTATCAAAATATTATCATCTCTCTTGGTTAAATAAAATGGAATTCTTCCGAACTACATTATTTTAATATGTACATATGTATGTCGGTGCTGAATCGGCATTCCATATTTCCGGTATTGGCAACGAACGCATGTATGCACGTGTGCGAAAGTATAAAATTTGCATTAATTGATGATTTCCACGTTCCGGTGTGAAGTGAGGCGAAGGCCGATCGGTTATTGAATACTTTCGTTCCTTAATTTCTTCTCGTACCTTATAATCTCTCATTGAGTGATATAAGATAAAACTCGTGCATGTGCGCGCTCTCTCTCTCTCTCTCCGTGAAACATATAAATCCATTCTGTGTTCTCTTCTCTTCTCAGCATGAGAACTTGTAAGAGTTCATTGCACGAGAACCCACGCGTCGCGCCCATCTTTATTTGATGTTGACTGCACAGCACACTCAAGAGACAATACTGCGAAAAAATTGTTTTAAATTGAATTTTTCTCATACCTTCTTTAAGTTTAACATCTAAAATAATATTCTTATAGAATTACAATAAAGTTTAAAATCTAATTATAAAATTCTAGTGTCCGAACATGTTATAAAATTCATATAATCTGGTATATTCAGTTCTTTGTTTCATTCCGATTTTAAATTTTACTTCTATAATTTTCTTTTAATTAATTTTGAACTTCTGTATCTGCATTTGTGTTGTGAACACAAAGAAACGACTTCCGTTCAGCTGGCTTTCTCTATCTTGCATAAATAAAAAACCAAATGACGCAGAGAAAAGTTATTTATAAGTTGTAACATTCTGCAAATTAAAAATTGTGAACATATACTGCAGTGGAAGTTTAATATTTTTTGTATGCTCAACGTTGATTTATTTCCTCCTTTTTCTCCGTCGCTTGGAATAAGAATATTAAATCAATCTGCGGAACGAAGTTAGTTCTTAAGCAATATCCAATTCCTTAATCGATGCAAATCAAGAGAGAAGTATTAAAAAAAGTGAAAATATGTCGTATTTCGTAGAATATGAATTCCAAGAAATTAAGATATGCGCATTCCGATTATTGAACTGCACTCCTTTCGCAACGAAACCTCGGCAGAAGAGAAGACTATATTTAAAATGATTCTAAAGTAATCGGAATATACGTAATCGGTACATCGAATATCAGGCCAACTCTGCGTGATGCACAACGTTGCTATGACTGTACAAGCTCTACTGTATTGCTCAAGAAAACGACATGCTTTTCGGTAGAGATTCGATTACGCATATTTTTTTCAGTTACTTAATTAAGTCTGCTTGTGTTGCGTTTTGCATCAAATACCATAAAATCACGCGGCGAAAATTCTTACGAAACTAGTTGTGATTCAACAATCAAAATGCGCATATCTTACGGCTTCATAAATTGATAAAGAAAAAATTTAATTACGAAACAGTTGATTTAAATTATTTATAATTTTTAATTATAATTTTAAAGTATAGTTTTCTTCTTATGCCGAGGAGGTAATAATGGGGTAATCTTTTTGCGAAAAGATTACAATTTAATAATTGGATGCGTGTATTTTAGAAATTTATTCTTTGTAAGTTACGTGTGAAATACGATGTATTTTTTCCTTTTTTGAATTTCTCTTTTGAATTGCGAGTGAAAGGGTTGTCTGAAATTCAAGTGAATAAAGAGTCGAGAATATCAATTGGAAAGCTAATAAATAGCTTGATCTTGCCAGTAAAATCAATTTGATATTCTTATTTTCAAGCAGTGAGGAGAAGGAAAAGATGAGTCAACGCTGACTAATACCTTTCACAAAAAATCTTAAGTTCCTGTTCAGTCTGCTGAAGCACATAATTCTTAATTTGGAAGATGTCTAAAGATCTTTTTCTCCGCTATTAGTTCTTTTTTTTTATTTTTGCAAGAGAGAAAACCATCCGAACAAGGTTTAATAAAAAAGTCTGAATGCTTTTATTTGGAAGGTTGCTATTGTCAAATAGTGCTCGTCATAAAAGCCGCGGCTAATTTTGTTGATTGGTTCATTGAAAGAAGTACTTTGTTATTAATTATGCAAGTGCCAAAATTAGGTCAATTACTACAAAATACTGCGACAAGAGGACAGTTGCTTTGTCAAACGCTAACTCGTGTGCGCAAGATATTATAAGGCAAAATTAGCAAATAAATGGCAGAGGATTGAACAATTTTCTGATTGATCGCTTTTTTTCAGCTTATATTGTAAAGCTTTCTGTTACTAACATTTAAAGAAATTAACGATTTTATTTTTTATTTTTATTAGTTGCTGTACGAATTCAAACTCAAGGTTAATTTACACGCAGAACCAGTTATATAAATATATTCATTTTAGGAGTAAATACACACGAACGCTTCGTATAAACTTGACGGACCGGCGCGCGTAGTTTCACCTGGCACCATCGGACATCACGATCAGAAATTAGCATTGTAATAGCATTGTACAGAGAACTTTGGATATCATCCAAAGACATTGAAATCCCTTAATAGAGCATGTATCAAATACCGAAGAAAATAAGCGAAAAAGTTGGGAATATTATCAATTTATCTGAAGAGTTGATTTCTCAACTGTTATCGTGAAGTGTGCAAAAAAACCTGATAACATAAACTATTAAAAAACTTGAAACTCAGGAATAAATTTTGTGTCGAATTTTTAAAGGTACTCGTGAGCGTTTTTGAATACGCTGGGCATTTTAGCGATTTAAATCGATCAAATTACGATAAATGTCAGCGAGGTAAAAATTTGTATTCAAAATGGAATAAAACTTGTGTAAGAGAGAGAGAGAGAGAGAGAGAGAGAGATAAAATACAGGCGCACGCATTAGTCATCGTTATAGCATTGATTTACGTAACTCGTCAAATTATAGCGTCGCATTATATTTTTCTGCATTGCGGTACATATTTATATTGCATCCGACGCCAAAACTTTTACACTGCCGTGACACTGGCGCAGCAGCAGCCCCGTTTGTATAAATAATTTTATGTCAAATATTTCGCAGTTCGTATTTATCGACGCTTTCTTTAAATATGGTGAAAGCCCAAAAAATGCCGAACAAGTCGCACCACTCGTAACATACCTTTCACCTATTATACACTTGTCGTGTATCGTACACCTCTTCAATGAGCGGCCGTTTACACAGGCATAAGTATTATGAAATATTAAGCGTGTAGTATAGACACGCGTGTGAAAAAGAAATTTACATTGGACCCGGAATGTAGGGCGCACTGTACGCCGATCCGGACTATATCCGAGCTGCCTAGAATTCTCGCTTCTGCATTCGACAAATAATCCACTGTCACGAAGGTGGGCGGTGCAATTCTTCCGAGTGTATGTACGGCATTACGCGATGGTGAATCGAAATTTCATGCGCCATATACAATACGGTATTAGAGTGCAATCCGGTAATTCGAGATGCGTATCTCGTAAATCCAGCACGAATCTACGACACGCTTTGATTCGGTTCATACAAAATAATGATAAATAATAACGTTGTTCTAAATTTCTAATTTTCTAAACTTCTCGAGTACCTGTTTCGTTTTTTAAATAAATCAATCGATTCTCTAATGTCAAAGTGAAAGGGAAAGAGTGACAATATTGGCGAGAGGCTGAAATATCGCGCTACGGTATCGGCAACGGTCTGCGGGTGGCTTGTACAAATGTAAGGGTGAAAGGGTGACCTAGTGGCCGAACTATCGCGAGAAACTCGTGGACTTACCAGCACGCGAGGGACCGTTCGATCTGCGCACGAGGATGGATGAATTCCTCGACAGTTTAAGCCATATCATCAGCGGGATAGGGTCGACTTGGTCATACTTAGCAGCTTACCGTTCGATCGATCGCGGACGAAGCGTTTCGTGGCGCAACACTCATTTCCGCACCTATGCATTCGAACGGAAGTACGCCGCACGGAACGGCCGTTAATTTCGGAATTTATTATCGCCGATTATTAGCCACTTTCGGTCAGTTAAATACCTAAAAATCCGCCCCGGCGAATATTTTATCTCGAACTTTGTACGTTGTATAATACACGCTGAGGTATATAACTTCGCTACATTTGTGTGTGTTGCGAGAAAAGCCAATAATGCGTAAATTGCCGCAAAATTAAAGTAAAGATTTACCGATGATTTATAATGCTGTAGTCGTTTTTATAAATTAGATGAAATGAGTAAGTGATGATCCGGAATGAATAAATGATCGAAAATCGCCAGTTAACGGCACATATTCTGGTTCATTGCTCCTTGGTGTTTAGTAATTCGAAATGTGCTGGAGTTTGCCAAAGAATGCTAAGGCAATCTTGCTTTGTTAAGAAGATCCGGAAAAATATAACGTTGTTTAAAAAATGCGAACACTGCAATATGTTTAGTGAACTATGCTACTTCTTAAATAATATTGTATCTCTATTTTAATTTTCTGCTAAATGATTGGAGCCACAAAATTTGGAATAGAACAAAAATAGCACTTAATTTTTCAATAAATCCAGATCTTTGGTGACGATAAGCGGATGAGTGGGAGACGCTCGCTTAACATATGCGATCAATGTGAATTCTTTTTAGAGCAATATATTGGAATAGTTGGAAATTATCACATCGAGATTCGAATCGAGTAGAACCACACTTCAATCTGAGAAATTAGACTCGTAAGGATTGTATAAGATTCATCACATTTCAAAGAGCAATTTTACATGCTTATTTGCCAACAATAATGGCTCCATCAAAAATTTTTCTGAATGGGAAACACTTATTTTGCTTCGTGCGTGAAGGCCATGACATCTTATATATATGATATATCCGTGGGATTGTATTGTTGTACGCTTATTATGAATAAATGAGCGAAATCCTATTCAAATAATAAATAATAAAGAAAATAGGTTATTTATGATTTTTTATGATTTATAAACACATTTTCATTCAAGTAATAATTTATCCGGTAGAACATTTTTTTGAGTAATTTTATATCGAAATGATGTAAATGAGAAATAAATGTCAACTTTTCAGAAAATTTCATAACAGTAAAAAGAAAAGCACACTTCTATTTCTAAATATTTTAATAAAGACAGTTGTGAAATATAATGCGTATTTATGTTTTCGAAAACTCTCGAAAAATCTCTTGGAGTTTTGGGTTTTTGCATTTTAATATTCAGTAAGTATATTATTTGGAACAGTAGAAAAAAAATTTGCGTGCATTATGAAGATGCACGATAAAAATTCGACGTGTCGCTTCATCGATCAGTCGCAAGTATTTACCGCAAACAACTCGCTGTCTACGATAACTGTGAAGATATATTGCGCGCAATCATCGTGTCGTCAGTATCCCTGACTTTGAATTTGTCGTTGATCCATAGTATCCGGCCATACTTCCTTCAATTTTTCATCGGAATGAAATCAAGGACGCGTGCGATCGATAATCTAAAAAAAACATAAGAGAGCAGCGGTGCTCGCACACCCGAGCTTGCCTCACGACGAACGGCAGGAGTGCGATTACACCGTCGAACGATTGACGCAAACTTATGTCTAATATTATTCGCTGTATATTTGTTCATCGATATTATCGCGATGATAAGATAGTAGTTATCAGGCATCTTTATATTTTAAAAGGATATTCTACTCTAAAGCGTGAAAAAGTGGTATAATGTTAGAGTAAAAGAACAATATTGAAATTTTTGAAACAATGCAATTTTGGATAGGTATTGATTTTTTATGGAAAATTTTGATTTTAAAGAAGCTGTGAAAAGATGGTCAATTTAAAAATATCATGATAATTTTACTTTGAACTATCAATAGACATTTATTTTGTAAAAAACCGTTTGAGTGGATAAGATTAATATTTTTTGAGGAATTGTTTCATCAATCAATTTAAAAAAAAAAAAACATAATTTCGAAGAAAATGCGTTTAAGTTGTAGAAATTCTTACAAAAAAAGTCTATCAAACTTGAGTAATCGTTTGTGAAGAGAAAGCTTCAGCTAACACGCTATTGACTTTACACATAATTATGTCAATAAATATTATGCCGAAATGAATAATTAATTTCTGTTACAGAACAATGTCACCGGTAAGCTTTTAATATTCAAATCAACGTGGGGGACGAAAAAAGAAGAAGAAAGATAAGATAAATGACAGAAAAATGGCATCCACGAGCGGGCACAAGAGAAACGGCTCCAACTCGAGTATGTTTGCACACAAGCGCACCGAATCCGGGGGTGGTTTCATCGGCTACAAGCGAGCCGAGGGCGGTCACAAACGTGCCGAGAGTATATCCAGTGCCTTTGGCCACAAGCGGCCCGAAAGTGGCCACAAGAGGAATGAGAGCTGCGGCGGCTTCGGTCACAGGAGGTCCGAGTCCGGCAGTAATTATTACGCCGGGCATCGGAGGAACGAGAGCATGTACGCGATGACGGGTCTGTACGCGGAAACCACCGGCGCCAGCACCGACGACAATGCGGACCCGTTGCAGCCGAGCGGCGGCAGACTGACCCACGACACCGTCATAAGGTGTCACAGTAGAAACCCTAGTTCCGGTCTTGTGGATCATAGGTGAGTGGGGATCGCTGAAATTCTTCAACGATGAACTCTAAGGCGATCACTCTCATCTTCGTCACAATTTTTTTTTTAGGAATATGTTCATCTTTATCTTTTCTATATTGTATTTTAATTTGTTTTTCCTACCTCAGATCTGAAATGCTAAGAAGTACCTTTTATTGATATGACAGAGTAATGTTTTATCCACGTTTGTATAATAATTTTATTTTTGCTGCAAGAATTATTCATTTGTTGAGGAAAAAGTATCATATCTTCTTACGGATTTGAATTTGATTATTTTTCGCACTGCGCTTTCGATTTATTCATATGCTTTAAGTGTACTTGTTTGCCGCAACAAAGATTTGTAAAATAACAGCAAGGCATGGACTGCATGCGACAAAATCACAGCTGCGAAAGACGGCTCAAATAGAAAGTGAGAACGTGAAACGACCGTGACATATTTTATCATGCGCCAAGTAGATTTAGTTAGATCACTTTTTTTTGTAATTATCATGACGTACATTGCCTCACTGTTTACGTCGCAATAAATTTCGCAGAACAAATCCCCGTGCATTCGTGTGACGAGCCACACTCATGCGTTGCATTCGACATATTCGTGCTCTCGGTGCTAAACAAGATTACGAGCGAAAGAGCGTATCGGGTTTAATTATTCTGTATAATTTAAGTAAGCACGACGCGCACAATCTATTAGTTTATTATCAACGAATATTTATAACGCCGCATCATACAGCACAATGTACTCATGCTTGGTCTTTCTTGTTTCTATTATTTTTCAGAGACTTTATCATCAAATGTCACAGTAGGAATCCCAGTGCTTCTATGGTAGACAGGTAAAATGAATATCATTAATCACCTCTTAAACGCCTACATGTCTAATCTACAGTAATTGTCGTTATTCATTTTTCTTCTACGCGCGATCCGCTTATTCGAAGAAATTGTGCGTACACGTGTGTATACGGGATATATAAAAAGAAAGTGATCTTCCGTTTCGCGATCATCATTCGCATGGAATGCATCGTAATTTTCTTCTCACACCCATCGCGTATGCCGTGCAGTTTCGAGTTTCTCAGTTGCGTATGTTTCTTCAATCTTTATCGTTCGCAATTACTCATTGCCTTTCTCACTTTGAGACGTTTCGTTGTTCATTGTTTCGATCTCCTTGAACGAATCTAGGGCGGAGAAGGAGAGGGCACAAACTCCGCCGCTCAATCCGGATTCCAAGGACTGTGGGATTCTGAGTTGTAGACCGGCCTTCATTCAAAGATTTGCCGGAATAAAGGTACGTCATTCGAATACTTTGCACAGTTATTCGAAAGAAAAGACATTTGAGAAAAAAAATCACGGTTAAATGTAAAGAAACAAAAAAAAAACATACTGAATCGATATATGCGTTCGGCGAAAGTCATCTTCACGGCTGATGAACTTACAGTATATATGCGCTCGGCGGAAATCTTTAGTTTACGTTTCTTAACACACAAGCGAAACTTATCAGTGTGTGACGGATACATTGCACGCATATTCCGAGAGTTGTTATGGCATCCGAAACGAATTGGATTTTTTTGCAAATATTCGTTAGATTGTATGATCAAATTGAACTGATTGACAATGTGTCTTCTTTGTTAAATTTGTCAGTAAATAAAGCGGTACACGATTATCTACGAAAATCAATGTACATATAAAAATTAAATAATTTTTAGACTAATCTCTGATTAGAGAACCAAGTTTAGCGTGGATATTCAGAATAAGTAACATCAAATACTATCAGATTTTTACAATATGCTTGTACATCCTTAAGGATTAATATATCACTATGTGAGTAATCTCGGTGTCAGCTCATAAAGGCACTCATACGTAAAGTGCGGTGAATGCTGTTTGAGTAGCGCACGCGGATGTACAAAGGCAGGCCTTGTGACTCATTGCGCTCGCGTTTGAAGGATGTAATCCGCGTTGCCGTTAAAACTATACGGAACACTCGACCGCAGATATTATTAACATTTTAGCACTTTGCACGAATAAGTACGCGGCACTTAAGTTAGACACGAAATGAAGATGTTTATAGTTATTGCAGCTGTGTTCGAAATTCACGTGTACTCGCATATGCAGGATGTTAAGACGAAAATGTACATGCGATGAGAATAATGCAGATTCCAAAGAGTATATACCGCTTTGAAATATGTTTTTTTTAATTTTTTTTTTATTTAAATGCTTGACAATTAAATTGAACTTATCGATGTCTCATATACATAATGTTTTCAGGTGTTCGTATTCCTCCTGTCGTTCCTCGTTACGTTGCAGCAAGCGCTTAGCTCAGGTTACATTAATTCTGTGATAACGACCATAGAGAAGAGGTTTGAGATCCCGTCCAGCCTTTCGGGCCTCATTGCCAGTTCGTACGAAATCGGCAATGTTATCACTGTCATTTTTGTCAGTTATCTCGGCAGTCGCAGACACATACCCGTGTGGATAGCGATTGGTACAATTTTCATTTTACTTAAAAACTAACTCTTCAAGCGTGATATTTACGCTACAATTGCATTTTTTTTGCTAATTGGATACCCATTTTATCAGCTTGTGTGTGTGTGTGTGTGTTTTTTTTTGCGATTCAGGTGCAGTGATAATGGGACTGGGATCGATGATCTTTATGGTGCCACATTTCACAGCAGAACCCAACTTGACGACAACCGCGAATCATTCCAATTCGGATAACATCTGTCGCGGCGTATCGTTACGCGAGAACGATATGGGTTTAGGTAAGCGGTCGAGGCATTTTTGCGAGTTCACACAAGTGTGAAAAATTATTTTATTTCAAAAGCGTGCCAAAGTTGGAAATTTTTCAATTTGGAAATCTCTGTCTTCAGGTCGACTTTCGACAGGCTTATCGTCGCCCCCCTTAGCGCCACACAATAATTTAAGAGGTGACAATTGTATACAAGGATCTCCGTCTACAGCCGGACCGGTCATGTTATTCGTACTTGCTCAGTTATTATTAGGATGCGGAGGCTCTCCTTTGTTCACTCTTGGTACTACTTACATAGACGATCATGTAAGACCAGAAAGTGCATCTTTATACATTGGTAAGCTTTGCTGTTAGATTTTACAAAACCGTACATGCATAATTAGTAATTTAACAATCCTTATTCCGTCCAGGTTGTATGTACAGTATGGCGGCCTTTGGACCAGTTTTAGGTTTTCTTCTCGGAGCGTATCTTTTGTCCTTTCACATGGACTCATTTTCTGGAACGATTATAAGCATCGGTAAAAATAATGTTTCTCATACTTTTATCGTACATTTATTTATTATATGCATATATATTTGCTTGAACTCATGTGTAATGTAAAATGAACAGATCCTGGAGATCACAGATGGGTCGGTATGTGGTGGGGTGGATTTCTCCTTTGCGGGCTGCTCCTCATTTTAGTGGCAATACCATTCTTCAGTTTTCCTAAAACATTACAACGTGAAAAGGAGAAGATACGAATTATTGAAAAGAATAAGCCATTGACACAAAAAGAAAAGGAGCAATCCAAGGAACCTAAAAAGGAAACACTAGACGATAGCGGCTATGGCAAAGATGTTAAAGGTGAAGAACATAACTGTTCTCTGAAATATTATATTATTAATGCGACAGATTAGAATTAACAGACCTCTTTTTTTTTGCAACAGACATTCCGCGCAGTATGTGGAGACTGGTATGCAATCCAGTCTACGTCGTAACATGCCTGGGAGCATGCATGGAGTTAGTGATTGTATCCGGATTTGTGGTATTCTTACCAAAGTATCTCGAAACGCAGTTTAGCCTGGGAAAAAGTCAAGCCAGCATCTTCACTGGCTCAGTCGCTATACCAGGCGCCTGTATCGGAATCTTCTTTGGCGGATGTATGCTCAAGCGTTTAGAGCTGAGGCCGAAGGGCGCGGTACAATTTGTCCTCGTCTCGAACATAATTTGCCTGGTGTGCTACGGTCTGCTGTTTTTCCTCGGCTGCGAGAACGTGAAAATGGCTGGGACCACTATACCTTACTTCAACAGTACTACAAAGGGCCCTGAACCCTTTCAAGTAAATCTCACTGCCGCATGCAACTTTGGTTGTGAATGCCGAATGACAGACGTGGAGCCGGTTTGCGGAAATAATGGTCTGACATATTTTAGCCCATGTCACGCAGGCTGCACTGCCTTTAGTTCCAAATCGAATTTTACAAATTGTGCATGTAAGTTGCGTCACGCAATGCGGCGTCCCTCGTGTTGTTCGAAGGAAAAATGCATCGAAATTTGTTTTTACGTGTTTAGGTATACATGGCAATTTGACTGTGCTGCCACCGGCAACGCCAGAATTTGCAGAAGTGACTGTTGTACCGGTAGCAACCGCAGGTCCTTGTATTTCACCGTGCAGAACTATATTTCCATTTTTGATTCTTTTATTCTTTATGACCTTTATCGTTGCCGTAACTCAAATGCCTTTGCTTATGATAGTGCTACGGTGAGTCACATTTTTATGTCACAAATGCAGTTTTGTATATTGAACTAACTAATTGCCCGATTATTCAGGTCCGTCTCTGAAGAAGAAAGATCTTTCGCTTTGGGTATGCAGTTTGTAATCTTCCGATTATTCGGTTACATACCCGCACCAATACTATTTGGAAATTTAATCGATTCTACGTGTCTGCTTTGGAAAAGCACTTGTGGAGAAAAGGGAGGTCGATGTTTGCTCTACGACATTGAACAATTTAGATACAGGTTTTGTCCCTTGATATTTTTTGTCTCTAAAATCCTTTTCTTGTTTTTTATTTTTACACAAATATTTATTATATAACATTTTTAGATACGTCGGCCTATGCGCTGGGATAAAAATTTTAGCTTTAGCATTATTTCTGATCGATTGGTGGCTCGTGAGAAGGAGAAGACAAATGGAAGAACAGCCACCATCTTTCACTGTCAACGAATTTGTAGGGTCAATTATCAGTTTAGATAAACGTGAGTAATAAAACAGACTAAAATAATGCATGCTTTAAGTGTTGTTAACAATAATGCGCACTGTCATGTGTTATCTAGTGTTTGAGGAGAAACCACATCAGCATTTAGGGGATGGCGATGCGACTCTACCGAGTTCCGAGATTGCAACGCCATCTTCTATCTCGTCGCCTACAGAACCTACGAAGTCAACGAATCTCGAAGAAACAGGGTCGTCGAATCAAACGCAAGATTCAACGGAGATGACAAATCGCTCAAAAAATATGGAAGTTGAAGTTCCCGATACGAGGCAAGCACCACTTGCTATAGAAGAGCCAGATGTTGAGATCAAACCTTTAACTAGTATGACGGAGAATCGTAACCACAATGTTTAATGTTTACTTTACATTAGATGCTATAGAAATAAATATATCAAATTGATGATATATAAATTTGTGACAAATTACGTTAATGAATTTATCTAAGTAATATAGACTCACACATATCCACATGTAATATTATTTATCTATTTTCTATGTTAGAAAAACAAGAAAGTGCAATACAATATATATAGAAAGAAAAGAAAGTTTGTATGGTATTAAAAATACCAGAGAATGTTAATATAAAATGGATTCAATTTTACTTTTTTTTTTATATGTACATTACATTGTGGATACATATATATATGTATATATATGTGTGTATATATATATATATGTATATATATGTATCCACGTATATTACATGTATATACATAGTTATTATTTATTATTCAAGATAACTTGTCACAAATTTAATTATCTAAGTTGATTACTTTTAGGAAATAATATCATTAGAGCGTAAATTTTTACAGCAATCATATATATGTCAATAAGTAGATATATAACGCGTAAATGTAGTTCATTTCAAACGTACAACTCGAAATTATATTACCCATTGCACATTTAGATTTATACTGTTGCTACGTGTATCGTTAATAAGAGCAAATATATACAAGAGAGAGATTAAAGTACGCGAATATGCAAAGTGGATAAATTTCTATTATCGTCCGAATGGAAGAGCATGATAAGAGCCTTGCAGTATTGTGAAAAAGGCCAATTCAAAGGACGAAATTGTAAATATGGAAATTTCTGCCTTAAGAAACACAAGACTAGACAAATGTATATTTAAAAGTAATGAACTAAGTACCAGAACTAATAATCTGTGTAATATCATTAGTGCAGAGTAAAAGCTATGATTTATTTTATAATTAGAGTTATAAACTTTCTCAGAACAAGTAGTCAATTTAGCAAGATAGTAAAAGTAAATGTGACGAAGGTTAGAGTAACGAATTATACGTAATCTTTATTGTTGAACAACATGTTGATCTGTATCTTATATTTTTCCGTAGATAGATGTAACCTATCAAATTGTGCGCATCAAGTCACATGTGATCTCACATGCTCCATTTCCCTTCGTTCTTCTTTTTCGCTCAACTGTTCCGTATCCTTTTAGTAGAAAGTAATACGTGGGAAAGTAATACTTTCGGAAAACGTATAAATCATCATATATCCTATATGATAAGAACGATGCTTCCAAGCAACGAAAAGAATACTCTTATTTGCAAACTGTGGCTCGAATCGAGGGATTAACATTTATTGCTTTGTCTTGAACAAGTCCTGGCTTTATGCGAGAAGCTCACTATGTACTGGAAGTCTATTTGCTTCGTACCTGAAAGTCTCTCAAATCAATTTCGATACAAAATGAAACTATAAAATTACTCAGGAATGTAATGCTATAGAAGATAGGGACATCTTCTATTTGATTGAGAATAAAGAGCTCATAAATGCGAGATATATACATTGCAGAATGAAATTATAGAGAAAGTGTAAACTTGTTTTATTGCTCATTGATTCTTTCTCAATGAAACATGATATTTGTATTTGAGAGTACTTAGAGCCATAAATATAAACCGTATTGAAAACAATTTATACGTATAAATATAGATGAAATTGCTTTTCGCACATACGTTCGCCGATTAATTGGAATACTTCTCTATACATTATTCACTTTGATGATAAGGGTACTAAATATTTTTGCACATGCTTCTAGAAGCATAGCCTTAGTTTCACGCAGTTTTATCGTTCTCTGTTCAGCTCGCAATCGTCAATTTTTCAAATAATACACATTATAATATATATTTTAGAAGGAATTTTCGAATTTGATGTGAGCTTCGTCAAAGTCGACCGTTCGCACTAGGTTTGAGATAGCGATGATCTCCGTAACTGCATATTAACGAAATACTTATATACTTACTTTGTGATATAAACTTCTTCCGAACGGTAACCTTTGAAGAAGACCGTAGAGAATAATAACAAGTGCTGTGAATAGAGGGAAAAAATTTAAATCAAATTTAATTCAATTTACATGCTGATGGGAGGAGATGCGGATTAATGCCGAATCTCGTCCAACAAACAATTGTACTGTAAATAGCGATTTATATCGAGATCTAAAAGAAAAACATATACATTGTAGAAGAAATATATATATCATAATATAATCTCATTCGTGAGGTTGCCATGATAATGCGATATTTTTATGCGTATTGAAATGAAAAAGAGAATGGCACGGCGCGTAATTAGTTTCAAAGGATTTGTCAATCTGCATGTAAACTTATAATTTTACGCGTAGCTCGTATCTCTGAATTTTTCATGTTACTTAAATACTTTTGTAAGAGATTTTCCCTTTACATTTTGATAATGATGTAATATTAATCATCTATTATTAGTGGATTTTCTCGGATAGCTGAATCTTTTTGATTTTTTTCACTGTTTCGTTTAGTTTTACGATTAACGATCAATTTTTACGATTATTATTGTTGCTATATCTATTATTATTACCACTATTATTATTGCTATTAATGTACGAAATATTATTATTACCAACACAGTTAGTGCTGCTATAATAACTCTTGCTAATAATGCTATACTTTTAATTTTGCATACATTTTGTTCGGTTTAAGCTAATTTTTTTTTTTTTATGATCGGCAAGATTGTTGTACGTAACATTCCGGAGTTACAGTGAATAAAACAAATGGTTTTAAAGAAGGTGTGTCTGTGCGTGTGTTTGCGTACGCGCGTGTTAGCAAATTAATAGGTGAATTCAGAATGCATAAAGGGGAAGACGAGAGAAGGCATGAAGGAGCAATCGAGTATTCACTACAGAAATCGTAAATACATACATTTAAAGAAAAAAACTGTTATGTACATACATATGATTATTATAATAATATAAGCTGCTTATAGATGTAATGTATTTTTTGTAGGGACCATAATATAAGCGGAATATATAATGTTATTATCAATATTAATGAGTGATACAGATTAGCAACTGATTTTGTTTTCATATTTATGAAAACAATACGCAATCGGAACTAGGAGAGATTGTAAGGATAAATTTTATCATTTATGTTTTTTTTTTTCATGAACAATCTTCGATGGTTAGAATCAAGCGAAATAATGTGGCTTTTATTAAAGATTGAAGTGATATAAAGGCGCATAATGCGAAATATTAGATAATAAATATAAACGATGCGAGGCATTTAAAAGTTTAAACCTATACATTTTTTGGGGGGGTACAATTAATGGATCCAATTGTCGCGAATCAAGATATGCCTTAAAATAGAAGATTAAATAACTGATACCATTTTGCAGTGATAATACTTGTCCGAAAGATCTTTTAAAATATTCTTATGATTTTTCAATACATATACCATGTCTTTTTAACGTGTCTTTTTTGTATCTATATATACAAACGAATTTGTACAACCGAATCACAGCCCAAAATTGTTTTTCAATTAATACGTACGCATACTTTCGCAACAAAAGGATTCAGATTGATAGGATTATTACAATTGCCAGAGCAAGTATGATATTGTAAACCAAAAATGATTGATTATAAAAATGAAGTCCACTTTTATATCTCGTTTTGTAGAAAATTAAGGTGCATATTAAAAGATTGTGTTTTGTTTGTAAGCAAAATTTTTAATATATTATAAATTATGTTTCCTATTGTGAGGAAGATTTATATCTTAGATTCGCAAGAACACTTTGTGTAAACAAACATGGTTTTTATAAACACAGGACGGTAAGAGCCAATTGTCAATCGATTCCGAAGATGGAAATTGCGACTTTGCGAATCGAGCTTCTTTGTGCGTTTCGACATGAAGAATTAGGGATAATCATAATGGTTGAAATTGCCTTTTACTTGACTCAAGCCTAATTTTCCGAAAATAAGGCACAAGTAAACTATGTATTTACAATGAATAAATGTTTTAAAAACTGTTAATTCTATCAGATTGATTTTCTTATCTTGCTTTGATTAATTACAATTACAATCTGTAGATTTAGGAAGATCTGCGATGCAGAACAATTTTCTCCCATAATTTAATTAACGTTTTCGTGTGTTCTGCGTTGTAGATCTTGTAAAACTATAATTTTGTTTTGAATTAAAAATTTTTTTGCACTACGCGACGCGGTTGTAATTCGCGTTTGTTAAATTTCGCGCGCTCTCGCTCTAGTTCTCGATTAAGCCGTCCATTGCAGCGCGGCGCTAACGCAGTGTTCTCGGTCATTTCCGCCATCTCCTAAACGCGTCTTTTCGTCCGTCCATCTCGTAGTTGTCAGTTGTTCACGGGCTTCTTTAGCGAGTGGACGTACGCGTGTAGCAAGTGTTCGGCGTGTTTCCTGTCACCTACGGAGTCGCGTTTTCGCTAACGAACGCCCCACCGTAGCTTCCATATTCAATGTGTATGGCGATTCAGGTGAGTGCTCGCGGGAACGCGAAAATGTTTGACGTGGGAACGATGGGCGTATACGCCATTCTGCGGGAGCGGAGCCCGAGAAAACCATGGTGCTCGCGTGGTGCGAACGAAAAGTCGATCGTCGAGTTTACGGTACCGCCGTCGGCTATGTACGACGCGCTCGTTTGCTCGCTGGCTCGTCGTCGCTTTGTGCGCGTGTGTATGCGTTTCATGAACGTGCGCACGGCATGGCGCGGCGCAACACAGCGCGGCCGACGAACTTTTGGCGTCTTGTCTCCACCGCCTCCGCCGCCGCCGCCGCCGCCGCCGCCACCACCGCCGCCACCACCGAGACGATCCTGATGTTCTCCCTCGTTTTCGAAACTGCCTCGGCGCCGTGTGGCTCGCGATGGCTTCCCGACGATAGCTATCGAGCATTCCCATAGCTTCTCGATTGTATTCCAAGTGATGTTTCGATTTCGCAAACGAATGATCTCGATGCCGAGGATTATATACACGCAAAAAAAAAAGAAAACTTCAGTGTTAATGTATTTACAAACGATCGATTTGGATGGATTTCCTCTTCGACTCGGAACTTCTAGTCGCGAAAATTTTTGCTACTTTTACTCATCACGAATGTGACGCGAATTTACTTCACGATTGGCGAATCTGAATGTAGAATGAAATATGATCATGTGTTTAGAGCCGATACACAAGTGTTAAAAAGCACATGGCGTCCAGCATCGAAATTTACAGTCGGGCGTACCATACGCGGCTGCTTCAGCTCCCGACTGAACGATGCCGCCGATTAACGTCGTCGAGAGCCTTGTCGTTTGCTGAAATGAACCATGATCCTCCAATTTTCGGCCGCTCGCTCTTAAATCGCGAA